GAACAAGAATTTCATTCTGAAGATATGTTCCATCAATATATGGACTTGTATTAGGATCAAATTGACCACTCTTTCCGATACGAAGATATAAAGTTAATTTTTCTAGATGAGTCATACGACGGAGAAGTGATACAATCAAATCATTAGTATTCCAAATGATATTATAACTTGTTAATGAGAAATACTTTAAATTATGCATATAACCCTATAAAAAATATTAAAAATATCTTTAGAATATATATATATATATATTTATAAGTTTAACTAATATTAAAAAATAAATGTAGAGAAAGTAATCTTTTTAGCTGAACTCATTTTCAATATTTTCTTCAATATTTCTTCTATTTTAATGAATTATATATAAAATAGCAATAATGACATCTAAAATATTTAGTCAATATTTCTAAACTTTCTCCAAATTGAAAATAGAAAATAGTTAGAGATGAGTTCAAAAGAAAAATAATCAATTTCCTTGAATTTGATAAAATTTTCAAAACCTAAACTTCAAATAGATTATGAAATCTGCATGAAATATCCTTAATATGATAAAACAAAAAAATAATTCTAATTTCTAGTGTATAACTATCATTATTATAGACATTTCTAATTAACAAAAATTTGTTTTTGGAAATATTTTCAACGATATGATCTAAAACATTGTCATTTCTTTTTGATAATGTGGTCTTATATTGCATGTGTATTTCTAAGTATATTTTTTAAATCGAAGAAATTTTATATGATACTCTTCGTTTTCTTAAAATTACTATGATATCAGAGCTATTATGATCGAATGTGAGATGAATATATAAAATTCATAAATTCTGCAGTTTTTATTTGATTATTCAAGGAAAATTGTTTTCCTTCTGTCTTCAAACAAATACTTATGATTAATAGTTTATATATTTGTTAAAACAACAATGTAATCCAATCGATTTATTTCTTGAATATTTCAAGAAAATAAAAAAACAAGTTAAAAAGTTAATTTCTAAGCAAGTACTAGATAATCTTTTCTTTTGTTTATTGCAACATTCAAATACTCATTTTTCAACTATTTGAATTACTAATTCTAGTGAGTGACTAATAATTATTTATCAAACAATTTAGATTCATATGAAAACAAAAACAACTAACTATTTCTAATCGTTTCACAATGATCAAAATTTCAATACTCTATTCACTATTCTAATTAGTAATCGTATGGTAAGTTAATATTAAACATTAACATTATTTTATCGTAGATATTATTTCTTAAATTAAAACAACAATTCAAATAATATCAACTCACTATACTAGTAGGGATCAACAAATACGGGAAGATAGCATAAAATTGAACGTTGAATGTAGTTAGTTGTTTGAGACGACCATCAAGTAAAGAGACACAATCATTAAAACTAAACACATTAATACATAAAGTAGTAAGTGTTGAAGTGAAATATGTAGTTGATGGCAACCAAGATAAGAAAAAAGGTGGATATTCGTCCACAGATGATGATGTAATAATTGTTAAATGCTGTAGATTTTGAAAGAGATCTATGATGTGTGCATAAATATTTCTATTATAAATCGTCAATGATGTTCCAACACGATTTTGATCATTATTATGAAGAATAAGATCTGTTATCTGATGTTGAAAAATATGTTGAAATGGTGATTTATCTAAAACAAAACAAAATGTAAATCAATGCTTTTACATTTTTTGTTACTGTAAAAGCATGTTAACTACTTACCTGTAAAATGACAAACTATCTCCTCCTTGAAATTGAAAAGTTCCAAATAAGTCAAATTTGGATAATCACCAGCAAGAAGAATACGTTCCATATATGTTGCGTCAACAATGAGTTTTCTGATACAATTATGTTTTTGAGGTAATATATAAGTACAAAATCGATCAATTTTGTCATCAATAGTTGATGACATAGTTACAAAATTGAGAATGCTAGTAAATACATCATCTTCTACTAAAGCATTAATCTGTTCATTCTTAATTCCAAATAGAGAATAAAGAACATCAATGTTATTAAGTTTCTTCAAGATGATGAACAATATTTCATAAGGTAGATCAAGAAGATGAATGTTAGATTGATACATGTTTACTTATCACTTTCACTTTCTTAAAAGACACACACATATATATATATATTTGTTTTTTTTCTAATGACCGTTTCCGTCAGCCAAGAATAGAATGACTGTATGACAACAATATAGACAAAAAGAAAAAATATGTAATTGATGAGTCATTCAATATGCTCATGAAAGAATACTGTTCTTTTATCAGCATGTATTTTTTTTTATTTTGTTGTCGTTAAGATTCATAATGTTCATTCATACGAAAGTAGACAATGTTACGCTAAATAATGAAAAATAAACATTTCCTATTAGAAGAAAAGTTGATCGAATGGTAATAATCTAATGTTTTATAAAGAATCTGTAATCATTTTGTATGATTATAAAAACATATGAATGATAAGACGACATATTAGAAACAAACTGTATACTATGTAGGTAAAGTTAGCAGCAGATTCGAGTTTTTTGCGAAAATATTCGTCAACAGATTTGTGCCAAAAAGGATGTTGACTGTGCCAGATAGAGCATCGAATGTACTATAGAATTTATACATTTCCAAAAA